CAAATCATTAATGCACACGGGAGGGCAAACACAAAAAACCCAGAGACCCTGAAGGAAAGCTGCCTCTTTCTCCAGTCAGCATGTCCAGAAAACTGTACCATGAGCAGACCACCAGGAAGCTCATATATGCTTAAGTTCTCTGGTTTAATGTGGTCCACAAGCGAAACCCAGCAGGTACTGGCACTGACCTGCAAGGAATTAGAATGGACCTGGATTTCAGCCTATTCAGCTGCGATCCAGCATGGAAGTCCTCGACCACAAAGCTAAATGGACGACCAATCAGAGTTGGCAGTAGTTCCATGTTCTCAGATCTAAGTTATCAAAGTAGCAGAGGCAATTGCCTGTAACAGAGACTCTACTTACCCTGAGCAATTACATCTTCGATGTTTTTTCCATTCAGCTCACTAATAACCTGTGTAAATAAACTTTAGAATGTTAATACTTTCAAACCAGCATGAGAGTAAGCTACATTTAAACAAGTTCTTATTAATCATCACGTACAATGGCTCCATCCTGATGCTTATGCAGCCCCAAAATTCTTTATTCATCAGTGGAAGGAACAGGGCATTGAAATAAAAACTTCTACTTTTCTGTGAAAGCTTTTTCAAGAGATCTGTTACAGTAAATTTATAATGAATCCAAGGATCTTGCAGAAAGGAGGATACACAGATGTTGTGAAGCCAATTAGCAAACCCCGCTAATGGTATGTTAGTCACTGAGGGTCTGTCAACACTTCTTGCTTAATGCCCCCTGGGAGGCTCTGGAGCACTGGGTCCTCTACCAAAAACCACAGGGTCCCCTTCCCAGCCTCACCAAATGTTAACAGCCAAGCTGGCTCTTGTATCCTTGCACTGGAACACAGAGTCCCAGCTTCAATTTTACTACAATTGTTGTACAACCAGGGATGAGGAAAGCAAAACACAAACCCACAAAAACATTGCTAAAGCAAGCAAGCACTTAAAAATATGAGGCCCCAGACCTTACTGGTGAGTCCTGGCTATCAAGAGTCAGTGCTGAACACTGCTGAGTAGCCAAAGCCAAAGGACTTCGACCAAGAGTTTTCCAACAGGCACCTTCTGCTCACAGGGAGAGTGGGATGTGTGAAATGCTGTGCCTGCATTCTTGCTCCATCTAGTAGAAAGGTGCTTTTAACACTTCACTACATTTACACTGGCTTAACATACAACCAGTGCAAACAGAAGAGGATTAATAAATTATGACCAAAACAAATTCCAGATACTGGAGGATCAAAGAAAGCAATTAATTTATGATGGTATTAAACCTAAACAAAACAAAACAAGACCTGGCACTTAAACCAGAGCACCACAAGTTCAAACCAACATCCCAAACATGAAATAGATGCTGTCAACTCAGCCAGCGCATTGTCTGGTTGAACCTACGGTAAAACACTGTTTCCAACTGGGAAAATAACTTCTTTTTATCTCCACCCCTCTGGAAACACTCCACATATGAGTATGGGCTAGGTGATAAGATCATTTTATTGGTTCTTGTTTTTCTTTTTTCCCCACGGCCACTGATTTTTTAAGTCCACAATGCTGAAAATGTTATATTACATTTTAGTTAAAATACTCTCTTCTTCAGAAGTCTGTCTTTCAACACAACCATTTCAGCATTTATTTTCAAAATCTTCCTACATCTTATAATCAAATACCTTTAAAAGTCCATGTTAGGATTTGCCTATGTCTCCTGGTGAAAAAACAAATGGTGGTTAGCAGCAAACTAAGTAAGAATGTATGACTGAAAATCAGGCCTTCAGAAATGTTAGTTCTGAATCAATACTGACCAGAAATAGGAAGTGCAGACTATACATGATGTCAGAACAGAAACAGAACTTGATTTCAATGTATCGTTTCTAGCCACCATCTCACTGAGAACGGTTTGACTGAACAAGTCAGCATCAACTGACAAGAGACCTTTGGGGAGGACATGTGCTGAATTAGAAAACCAGACTTCTAACTAAAGTTGTAAAACCAACTGTGATTGGCTCAGCAGCGTTTTAGAAATCACACACGTAAGGGCCACCGAACATCGGCACAAAGTAAGGGCAGATCAGCAGCGAGGCAACCGGAACACTGAAGCCAAGGGAACAGCTCCAGCGTCTGGCGCTGGCTGGGACACGACCACCCGGAATTAAAGAGGCAACGCCACCTTGTTCATGCGTTCATCGTCCGTCTCGATGCCGACGCTGTCGAGGATCTTCTTCAAGTCCTTGGACGTGGGGGACTCGTTGCCCCCGAGCACAGCGAGGAGATAAGCGGCGACGTAACGCATCCTGCAACACAGGAGAGCGGCGTCCTCAGCGCCCAGGGCCGAGAGCAGGCCCGGGGGAGCCCCATCCGCGCTCTGCCCGCCACAGCCCTCCGGCTCCGCTCGTACAGCGGCACCCGCGCTCCCTGCCCACCCTCCGCCAACACGGGGCCCGCACGGCAGGCCGGACAACGCTCCCGCTCCGCGCCCGAGGAATGCGGTGCTCGGCTCAGCCCGTCCCGTCCCTCCGCCGGCCCCGGCCCAGCCGCAGGCCCGAGAGCACATGGCCGCCATTACCCCTCCCCCCGCCCCGACCTCAGTGGTCTTTCCCGAGCCCCTCCGGCGGCCGCGGGCTGAGGCGGGCGGGCCGGGCGCGACCATTGCCGCGGGGGGTGCGGGGGGAGCCCCGCGCACTCACGTTGTCTGCGGTGGGACACGGGCCGGGGCGTGCGCTCGTGACGGCCGCGCGGCGAGCAAAAGGAAGGGGCGGAGCCTCGGCAACGCCTTCTGCCCGACACCCCTCAACAACGAGCGCTGCCATTGGACCGCGCCGGCGGCGGGCGGACGGACCAATGGGAAGCGGCGAGAGAGAGCACCGCCAGCGCGGCCGGAAGCGCATGCGCAAAGAGCGGCCGCCTGTCCCGTCCCGCCCGGGGATTGGTGTGTGTTGGGATGGGCGTGATTCCCAGAGCGCGCAGTCACGGGGTCTGCCCGCCGGGAAAAGACCTCCGAGATCACGGAGCCCAGCCTGTGACCTAACACTGCCATGTCAACTAGGCCATGGCCTTCAGTGCCACGTCCAGGTTTTCCTTGAACAGCTCCAGGGATGGTGAATCCGCCACCTCCCCGGGGCAGCCCATTCCAATGCCCAGTCACCCTTTCTCTGAAGAATTCCTCTAACGTCCAACCTAAACCTCCCCTGGTGCAGCTTAAGGCCATGTCCTCCAACTGCAGCATCCTGCCCTGCCCTGCCCTGGGGTCGGCACAATCCCAGTTGATCCAGACATTGTGTCCTGATATTTGTTCGTTTTGTATCTGCACAGAGAGGGGCGCTGGGTGGTGAATTCACAAAACCACAGCACATCTCCGTACAGACATGAAACAAATGTTTCCTCATGGAAAGGGTGGTCAGGCATTGGAGTGGGCTGCCCAGGGAGCTGGTGGGGTCAGAGTCTCCAGAGGTGTTGAAGGAAGAACTGGATGTGACACTTAGCGCTATGGTTTAATTGTCATGGTGGTGTTTGGTCAACAGTTGGACTTAATGCTCTTGAAGCAGCCACTGGGACAAGGGAAGTGATTGTTCCCCTGTAGTCAGCACTGGTGAGGCCACACCTCAAGTGCTATGCCCAGTTCTGGGCCTCTCACTTCCATAACGGCATTGAGGTGCTGGAGTGGCTCCACAGAAGGACAGTGGAGCTGGTGAAGGGCTTGGAGCACAAGTCCTATGTGAAAGCGGCTGAGGGAGCTGGAGTTGTTTAACCTAGAGAAAAGGAGGGTCAGGGGAGACCTGATCACTCTCTACAACTGCCTGGTAGGGGTCAGCCTCTTCTCCCAGGCAACTAGTGGATAGGACAAGAGTCCTGACATCACCGAATCAATTAGGTTGGAAAAGACCTCTGAAATCATCAAGTCCAACCTATGACCAAACACAACCTTGTGAACTAGACCATGCACGAAGTGCCACGTTCAGTCTCTCCTTGAACGCTTATGGAGACGGTGACTCCACCACCTTCCTGGGCAGTCCATTCCAGTGCTTAACCACCCTTTCAAATGAATAAATTCTTCCTAATGTCCAACCTAAACCTCCTCCGGCACAGCTGGAGACTATGTCCTCTTGTCCTGTCACTGGTCGCCCTCTCCACCTCCCCGCCACGGCTACAACCTCCTTTCAGGCGGTCGTAGAGAGAGCTTTGAGCAAGGGGCGCTTTTCGCAGGGCAGCAGCACCAGGGCACCGGCCGGGGCTTTGCCCCTCGGGGCGACACGGGGAGCAGCACCCACGCCGAGGGGCCTCGACAGAGCGAACGCAGAGACACAGCGGCTGGAGGCAGGTGCCCTCCGGGTGGGATGAGGGCCGGCTCGGCAGCCCCCAGCCCTGCGCCCTCCTGGGCTCGCAGCCCCCACTCCGTTTCTCTCCCTGGGTTTGCAGCGAGTGAGCACAACACCCGGGGCTGCCCGTGCCTCCCCTCCCTTGGAGCCCAGGGGAGCCGCACCGAGACCGGCTGCGGTGCCGAGGCCGTGTCAGGAAAATCTCCTTTCGTGACACTGCTGTGCCGGCGGGATGCCTGGGCCTGCGGCTCCCCGCCCGCCCCACGTCCCGCCGACTTGGGCACCTGCCCCGCCCCGTCCCGTCCCGTCCCGTCCCACCCCACCAGCGCCGCTCCCGGGAACTTTGCAGGAAGTGCCGGGCAGAGCCCAGCCCAGCCCAGCCGAGTCCGGCCCAGACGCTCTTGTTGAGGGCCGGGGGCCCGAGGGGTGAGACAAGCGGGGCCGTGCTCGGTGGGGCACGGTGCGCGGGGCCCGGCTGGAGCTGCTGCCGCGGGTCGGGACGGCGGGATGTGGGGTGGAGGAGACAGGGACAGGGCACGTGTAGACAGTCCGTGTGTGTGTGTGCATGTGCGGGGATGTGTCCGTGTACAGGTCTTGTGTGTCCATGTGCGGGTGTGCGTGTCCATGTGCGAATCTGTGTCCATGTGCAGGTCTGTGTGTCCATGTGGGGGGGGGGGTGTGTGTCCATGTGCAGGTTTGTCTGTCGGTGTGTCGGTGTGTCTGTGCCTGCCTGTGCACAGGATGTACCGACCCGTGTATTGCAGCACACCCTGAGCTGCCTCTGTGGCCTCCAAGCCTCTCCAGGCCTCCAAGTCTGGACCTCCCCTTTGGTTCCTTCACCATCAACAGCTTTACAAAGCTGGAGCAGATGGTCTGTTTTCTTACGTATGTGTTGTGTACACCCTTTTTTTGTAAGAAATGCTCACCTTTATACTAAAGCAGCAGTTTCACTTGTATCCCACGGACACTTGGTTTCACAGCGGGGTTCGACAAGGCCCTGTCACAGTTTTTGAGCTGCCTCTGGGCTCTACTTCCTGTTCTTGTCATTACATTCCTGCTCTTTCAGAGAGATGGGTGTGACTAGTGTGATGCCTCCACCAAACTGTGCCTTGGGAACATCAGTCCTGCCGTGTCCCACAGGTTAACAGTAAAAGCACTGCTCCTCAGTGTGTTACTGGGGCATTAGCTTGTTTCTGCTGGCCTTGAAAGTAAGAGCCAAGTTTGTTCTAGTTCTGCATCACTCACTCAAACTTTTATTCACCTAGTTGATCCATGGCAGAGTTTACAAAGAGCTCCTGATATTCACATCATAAGCTAGTTTAATTGCCAAGCTCAGGAGGAGTTGGAAAAGATAAAGGAAGTAGAAAGAGCAGGAAACAAGGTACTTGGAAGTATGTGACTACTGGTATAAAAACAAGTGTGGTGCCTCTGCTCATCTTTGAACTACCTTTATACAATGGTGATAATGTCTTCTTTTAAAAGAAGCCCTAGATGGATGATGGCTTCTTCACACTAAGAAAGCAGAGGAGTAATTAATTTGATCAAATTTTGTACCTCTGCTCCTTTAGATTTGAATCCTTCTCAGCATGCACTGTATGATATCTACTTTTTCCCTTTGTCTGTGGAGCATGCTGAAGGGAAGAAACAGAGAGTAGCTGGTAACTAGCTGGCCACAGCTCTGTGCCTGGTTTGCACTTCCACAAGAGCCCAGTCTGACTGCACAGTCCAGTGCTCCTGTGTCACGGATGTGCCTTTTCTAACCCCGTCCCTGGCCCTGACACGTTTGCTCTGCTGCCCTTTGCCCGCTCACTTTTATCCCATTGGCACTGGGTTTCACAACCGGGTTCCATGAGGACCCATCACAGTCTATGAGCTGCCCCTGGGCTTTGCTTCTGGCTCAGCTCTCCCTGCCCCAGTTTTCTTCTCCACTTATAAAGCTTCCCACTAAGGCACTTCGAAATCTGCATAAGGAATAGGCGTTTACATTTATATCTTTTAAAGTTAATATTACTATTTATTCTGATGGTGGGTAATTGCTCCATTCCTTGATGAGATGTTGGCTGGGAAAACTCTGAGGTTTTCCCTAGGAGGAGAAGCCTCTGTGGCATCTGTCACCTTGCATTTCTGTGCTCTCTGCCCGCAAAGCTTTCAGTAACATGCATGTAATCCTTCTTGCCCTTTTGATTTGATTATAAACTCTTTCCAGCCACTCTGGGCTGGGGCAGAAGTCCTTCATGGTGCACTTGTGTTCTCTTTCAGCTCCATCTTTCCTCTTCCTCCTCGTCCCGGCTGCCTCGTGGTGCCGCTGGTTCCTGCCTGCCAGGCAAGTCAGAGCATGTCCAGACCCCATGGAGGAGATGCAGAAGATGGCAGAGCGGCTGAGCCTCTGGGGCAAGTGCGGGGAGGGGACTTCGGGGGCTCCTGCACTTGCTGGCCCCTGCCTTGCAGGCAACAGACTGAGCCTGGATGTTTATCCTGATGGCTGCTGGCATTTCCTCCGGCTGTTGAAGCAGCAACGGGAAGAGGTGGTCCAGGTGGAGTTCCTTCGTCTCAGCAGCAACGATTGCCTCATTGACACCACGCTGGACAGCCTTCCTCATCTGGAGCACCTGAAATCCCTGGTGCTGAAAGGTAAATTGGCTCACCACCATCCAGCCTTTCCAGGCTCGGATTTTCTGTTAATCCTTCTCTCTGCATCTGCAGGACAAACTGCCCTTGGAAGTGTTTTGTTCCAGTGCCCCTTACCTCAGCTTTGGCTCTTAGCCTTGCTCAGAGCTGCATGCAGATCTCAACAAGATACAGCTTCTAGACTCTTAATTTCCTTCCTTTGTTTCTACAGCTGCCTGGGGATCAGATTTTGGAGTCTGGTAGAGTTGATGCTGTGGCATTTTCTTTAGCCACTCTCTTTAAGAAGAGCATTTTTTGCAGTTATTCAAGAAGAGGGGGATTGAAAAGTGTTGGATTTTATGATAAATGTTCAGCCCTTCTTTAACTTTTGGAAGTATAATAAACTGTCTTTTCTGCATTTGCATTTGAATCAATCCATGCTTAAATCTTTGCTTTCTGCCAGTAACTGTACGTTTAGCAGAGTTCAAGACAGACCAGAAGAGGCTGTTCAACATTTTATCTAACGTATGATGCAGGGACATGCATGTAATTTGGCAAAGTGTAATAACTGTTAGAGCTATAAATATGAGATCATTATTTGAACTTTCTCATCTCTTTATTGTGGGAGGATCTCAATACAAGTGGTATAATTTCTGTATCAGACTGAATCATTTACTCTTTGGGAGGTGCAATTTTAAAAATAAATGAGAGAAAAAAGAGGGAATTTGTGGCCAGAATGCAGGCCTGAAAACTGAAAAGATTGAGATTCATTTCTGTATCTACCACAGATTTCTCATGTGAATAATTTGAGATTCTTTTCCATCTTTAGTAAGGTGATGATAACAGCAATACCTTTCATTAGTCCTGTTTAGTGAGATGCACACATCCCCTGAGCATCCTGAAATGCAATAAAACAGTTCACTAAGATTTTCTTACTTACAAAGTTAAATGTGTCTAATAGTTTGGTTGTTCTCATTTTGCACCATTATGCAGCATAAAAAGTGTTTGGTGCCCTCTGCTGTATGTGGATACAAATAGAGAACAGGGAAGGGCGAGTAGGAAACAATGAACAAACAGAGAAGTTTCCCTTTGTTTGCTCAACTTATTTTTCATGGGTGCAGCCCTTTTCCAATTTGAGTGTCACAAGCTGGGGTGGGGAACTTGTATCCTTCTTTCTCTGTGCTGTCTGGCCTACACAAAACTGAATTACCTACTTTCCCCTCCCCATTTTCACTGCTTTCGCCATGTCTGCCCTCCAGTCTAGCAAGGGCTGATCTCATCCTTAGGGCTGTTTGCTTCTCAACAGCATGGACAAAGCCTTGAGGGCAAGGACTATCTCCTTAATCCATAAAGTGTTGTGTGAGGAAGAGGTAGGGAAGGAGAGTAGGAGGTTTGGAAGTATGTGGGTCACCTTGCTGAAATGTGGTAGATGTGTGGGGTGTCCTGGCTAGTTCTGAGCTTTGACTCTAGGTGTGTTTAGCAGAGCTGTACTGGTTCACTGTGGCATCTAGATTCATAACAGATTTTTACCATTACACCCCTTTCACTGATCAGGAAACTAAGGCATGAAGAAGACTCACTTCTCTGAGTACTTTGTAATCAGTTCTGCTCATTGTGATCAGTAAATCCCCATCTCGTAAGTCTCTGCGCTAAGGAGTCTCACGTGAGGCTGGTGAGATCTCCCTGTAGCACATTGACCTCTTCTTCTACTTCCCTCCACACCCAGGAGGTCACGTTAGAGATAAGTTTGGTTCCTGCCAGCGTGGCTCCCTGACAAGCTTGCCACAAGACTTCGGGAACCTGAAGTGTCTCACCCACCTGGATCTCAGCTTCAACAGACTCTCCACCTTGCCGAGCTGCATTGTCCACCTCCCCAGCCTCCGTGTGCTCCTGGTGAGCCACAACAGCCTGGTGGCACTTCCTGAGGACTTTGGCTGTCTTAGCAAGTTGACTTTCTTCTCTGCTATGAAAAATCAGCTGACGGACTTACCTCAGAGCATTGGGGAGCTGTCAATGCTGCATAGCCTGGATCTTTCAGAAAATTTTTTGGAATTGCTTCCTGAAGAAATTGGGAATCTGCAGAACTGTGAAGAGCTGGTTCTCTCTGGAAATTGCTTATCGAGCATCCCAGACTCCTTAGGTATGTATTTTTTAGGGGAAAAGAAGACATGGGCTTGCCAGGCTTTCAGTACAGCCTAAGAACCTGTGAGGCCCTTGGCCTTTTGTCCCCAGAGTTGTTAGCATGTTGGAGCCAAATGAAAGGGATATCTGGAAGTAGCGTGCTTGGTTCAGTCAGTCCCTTCGAGCATTAATGACTCTCTGGACCACACTTTCTGTTCTTGTGGATCAGCAACACGGCTAAGATCTCAATACAATTTACAATCTGGCCTGGCTGGTTTTTTTGGGTAGCACCCAGGACTGGAAACAGAAGAGCTGGGGTTTGATGGGATGCAAATCTGGGCTTGAAATCACAGTGTACGGTGTGGATAAGTCCACAGAACTGGGCTCTGACTTCTGCTGCCCAGCCTCCTGGCTCTTGGATCCTCTATTACTTTGTGCCCAAGGTTGTTACTAATGCTGTCACAGAGCTGTCTCACATCCACACTCATAGCTGGGTGCTGAAAAGCGGGAGACAGAGGAGATTCTGTTGCCTCTCAGCTAATTCCCTGCACCCCTTTATTGTGAGCTATAGAGATGTTTGGCTTTTGTGCTTTTCCCCCATTATATGTGTGTTTACATGGGATGAGGAAGGGGGGGTCAGAGCTGATGTGTGACACAATTAACAACTTCTTGTTCTTGTTCTAACCTGCAGGCAATTTGAAGTCTCTGCGTGAGCTGCATCTCCACACCAATTTCCTGGTGACGGTCCCTGCCTCGCTTGCCAGCCTGCCCAACTTGTCCAGACTTGATCTGCAGAACAACTGCCTCCGTGCTGTCCCCGCTGAGATCCAGGCTTTGCCATTTGTGGACCTCCATGGCAATCCCTTAGGAGAAACTGAACCATCTCTGCAGGCTGGTAATTGCAAGGCTTCTGCTGCTGTGTGTTCTGCCCAGCTGTTCCCTCACTCAGCCCAGCATGGTGTAGATGGGTTTGGATTAGAGAAGACTAGCAGGGGGGAATCAGATCAGCCTTTATTTGTCTGGAATAATTATTAGGTTGTAAGGACACAGACAGTACTAGTTATTTTTTTTATGAGCCC